GCGTCTGTGGTCCTGGATGGAACAGCAGAAGCATTTCTGACCCTGACAAAATGTTTACGCCGAGGAGAGGGCTGTGGAAGCAAGCTTCACCCGCTCACCCCGCTTCAGAGTAAAAGTCGCTTTCGATGCCACTGCGACCACCGCACCCAGAGTAAATCCGCCCTCGCCGCCCGCGTCCCCACCCAAGGAAAGCTGCTCTCCTCGGAGGAACATCACCACGCTGCTGAGGCTCTCCTCAGAGAGTTCTTCAGAGCAAGGTGAGCGATTCATTTTCATTACTAGATGAGAACTATCCCCACCACCGGCACCCTTCTCCAATAACACAACCACAACGGACTTTCTGCTCTGCGGTGGGAGCTCAGCCAGGATGAGCACCCGGCCGGGACGCGCCGCCCAGCTCCCTGGGGAATCCAGCCCAGCCTCTAGCCGATTAAATCCCCGTTTCAGTTCAAGGACCCCTCGTGTCATCATCATAAACTGACACCTCGGCCCACCCCACACCCCACTGCCACGCAGCTCTGACGTTAACGAGAAGAAAAGCTCCCCGGGTCCAACAGTTCCTTCTTTGTTTGTCTTAACTTCTAAGAATTTTGGGGTTTTTTTTACGGACAGAACTGTTAAAATGCCTTTTCATTTTTTTATTGTTTTTTTAAACTAAAAGTGCTGTCTTTAACACCGCCACCAACCCCTGGTTTGTACCACCGGCAGTTCTCACAATGCAGAATCAGCCGATCCACTCCGTCTTCCCAGGCGCTCATTCAGCTGCGTAACAGAGCCGAATCTTCACCTTCAGCCAGTCCTGTTTAGCTGTCATCCCACTGCTATTTTTGACAACCACACTGATAATCTAATTAGCACTTTATTCAAAAGACTTTGCTTGACAGGAGAAAGAACGTGTCAGTAAAGATCATTCATACAGATCTATTTACTACAGACATACCTCTACACACAGACTATATGTATAGCTACACGTCATCTGGCTACTGTTACACTGTGTATATCCCTTGCCACACACTTTTATTTGGTTAATTTTATAATTTCTTTTGGACTAATACGGGTTTTGGTTTAAAAGCACTACTCTGAATGATCCCTGAACCTAAGAACCAAGCTCCCTGAAGATCATTTCAGCCGCGTGTTCGTTGTTTACACACTGATCAGCCGCCTCGGGTGGGTGCACGTCAGCTCCTTCGCACAGGTAATGCCCACCCCTTTTTACAGAAAAATCCCTTGCTCTGTTTTACTCTGGGATTCTTAAACACAACTTCATTGAGGTTTGAACACCTGACACTCTCCACAGTTCCTCTTCAGAAAACAAAAAAAAGGGGACCTAATAAATGCTTATAAATATCTGCAGGGTGGGTGTCAGGAGGATGGGGCCAAGCTCTTTTCAGTGGTGCCCAGTGACAGGACAAGGGGCAATGGGCACAAACTGAGGCACAGGAAGTTCCGTCTGAACATGAGGAAGAACTTCTTCCCTCTGAGGGTGACGGAGCACTGGAACAGGCTGCCCAGGGAGGTTGTGGAGTCTCCTTCTCTGGAGATATTCAAGACCCGCCTGGACAAGATCCTGTGCAGCCTACTGTAGGTGACCCTGCTTCGGCAGGGGATTTGGACTAGGTGACCCACAGAGGTCCCTTCCAACCCCTAC